GAAAGATTTTCTAGAGTGTTGAAGTTTTATATGTATGATACTTGTGATGAGACTTGGGCCGCTTGGAGGGGGTCGTATTTCAAAATTTCCCTCGACGCCTCGCTTGACCATGGTCGGGCTCGTGAAAAGGGAAGGAATCAAGTAGTCACGCATGCGACTGAAGGCTGAAGCTAGTGTTTGGGTGAATAACTTCGTTCCCGCTGTTTCTTGGCAAGACCATCACGAAGTGAGTGTTGAGCCAGGGCTGCCCTTGCCGCAATTTGCCTGAGGAGCCTGCGACACAGAGCGAAAGCACACTGAAGCTTTTCTATGTGGGAGAAGCTTAGTATCATGACTCTCCAAGAAAGAGCAAAAACTATCCTGTACGACAGGACAAAACATGTCTGATAATGATAACATTGGGGCTGATAGGATACTTCACTTTCATGAATGTCGACACGTCGACTTCCTGCCTTGCTTTTGTGCTGAAATTCTTCTAGTGCAATCGCCGTAACCTCCTTCTCTCACTTTATCCTCTCTTCAACAACGAAGCAGTACAATCTCCCATGATAAGGCATCGTTCGTTCCCTAAGCATGACTGACGATTCGATGATCAGGCCATTCCGAGATCCGGTGGAAAGAAATGGATGCATAGAGACCATATGTTCACGCGTATGAGTTGGTCTGTCTGTAAATTCCCCTACTCATCTTAGCGGCCATAGCTGGTGTAGTCGGTGTAATGTTGCTGAACAGCTCGTCCTGGTGGTTAAATTTTCTGGCCTCAAGTAAAACGCATTGACACAATTTCGAATAAAACAGCAGAGATAACGTCGTGGCCCGACCACTCGGCAAGAGACCTCAATTCAAATTTCGGTAATTGAACTTCATTATAAAACAGGGCGGAAGTGGTGTAGTGGCAAGTGGCACGCTTACCACGCGAGCGGTCCGGGGATCAAATCCTGGGTCGTGAGTCGCCCGGGCCAACCAAGCCTTCCATCCCTCCGGGGTCGGTTAATTGGTACCAGACTTGTCTGGGAGGATAAAAAACACTGACTTGTACATCGGCTGGCCCCGCAAGTCATTGTATAGGCCACATCGCATTCAAACGCCACTACGAATGTACAAATGGAAGTAGAATGCGTGCCGCATCCCAAAAAGGGATTGATCAACGGCAAATGCTTTATCCTTTATCCTTTATTCTTTATGGAGCAAAAAGGCCTGTAGTTCGTCATGGTGATCATTATTTCCCCTGAAGAGAACGTTAAGTATTCGAATGTTGAAAACTCGAGTGTTTAGGAGAGTAGTTCCAAAAATTCATGGAAGAAAACGGTCCAGTGGAACGATTTGTTGAATCGAGAATTCTTTTCTGAGGTCGGTAACCTGCTATGAACCCACTTTTGCTGGCAAGGTCTTAAAATCTGCTGATCGTAGAGATCAAATCCGCCTATGCGATTCTGAAGGGATGGCGAACGTTTGGCGCATCTCAAAGCGGAAGGATTACGCCATGCGCTTCGCCAGTTCACATTTTTGAAGCACTGGCGTTGGTAGGTTACTCATCTTTTTTAAGCTCAGTATTTCTGATTAACCGCATTCAATCCAAGACTGTCCCGCAAGTTGCACTCCAGTTGTATTCCGTTACCAATTCAACTCTCGCGGTTCTCTCACCTTTTGTGGCCCTAATGCGGAACAAAAGCTGCCTTATCAGGCAAAGAACCGTAGAGGGGAAAGTGGGTCGGGCTCGCTTCTCCTAGCGTGTGTCACTAAATAAACAGCCTTCTGAGCTTTTCACGGCCTTAATGTGTGATAAAAGGCCGACACCTAACGGTTCCTTATCATCGCGTGCTGTTTTACGGTACATCAACAAATACGTGGCAGGTCGGTTTTTGATCGAACTCCACCGCCAGTTGCGAAAAAAAAAAGAAATTCGTCCAGAACACGCAAATTAGCCCCCTTCATTTACCTGTTGATCTCCGACTATGGACAAACCAGTAATCAAGAAGGGGTCGTTTCCACCTCGTACCTCATAGCCACCCACCATCATGCCAACAAACACCATAGTTTGATGGATAGCGCGTCCACAAAAAGTCAGAGATTCGACCGTTGAAAGTGGAATCCCTTTCAAAATGATCATAGAACAATGCTGTTGCTGGAACAAACTGGTGGGCGGAGTACAGAGGGGGCTAGCAGGTCCAGTGCGCTGCAACTAGCTCTTGGCCTCAAAACGGCCACATTTCACTTCAATCAGCCTCTGGCTAGCGCTTCCTCTGGTATATAGCATGCCTACTGCACAAAATCTAACCTCTCATTTTACGTTTCAAACACCATTCGGAATTCGAAAGATTTCATTAATTTCTTTCAGCTTATGCTGTTAGTTTTAGGTAGAAAGTAACAGTATACGATCGAGCACCAAAAGCTCTTGCATCTCTTCATGAAGTGATTTGAGAAGCTTTGAGTTGTTAATTTATAGTTAACGTGGCCATAACATTCTTCTATTCATAGTGGAGATGGAGCCAGTACGGGAGAACGGAAGCGGACGGGAGGAGGACGCAGATGTGCAGCCGATTTCGAAAGGTGGGAGAAATTTCATCGTGCTGCTTCACTCTGTGCTTCTTGATAGATGTTCCGATTTCCGTTCAGAATGAGAGTGGCGGATGAGGATTGGCAAATGGTAGCGATTGCAGGGCGCGAACAGAACGGCAGGTGAACAGACCATGACAGGTTTGGGGTGTGCTGAAGAGGCTAAGTTCACAATCCCTGCAACCAGAGTCAACCCTGCGTTGCGCAGTTTTCAACGGCCACGTTGCGCAGTTTCGCCCGATTAGACACGTTCTCTCGCGCGAACATTCACACTCGCATGCTCGAGCCGTCTGTGTCTCCGCCCATACAGCGTGCGTTGAGGATCTCTCAACGTGCCGTTGCGAACTGCGCAACGCAGGGTTGACTCTGCCAAGCCACTTTTTCTTTTGGCATTCTCTAATGTATGTTGGATATCACTTTATATGTATTGGATTAATCACACCTAGCGTCCCCGAGATGTAGTAGCTCATTTGTTGGCTTTTTTCAACGAAGCGGGTAATGAGTCAGTTCGTGCTTAATCTAGAAAATCTGGTTTGGCACTATGGGAAATCAAACTCTAGACGGTTTAGATTCGTGTTAGGAGCTGTTTCAGTAAGCGCCAAGGAACCCACCCAGTGTATGGGTTCTCTTTCATCTCACTTGTTAACACGCTGTAATTGCGAGTCCAGCGAGCTTCTAGCGTCTTTTTGTCTCGTACTTTCAAGCCGCAACAGGGGTGCGACATCAAGCGGTTTCGTCTCCCTTTTGACGTCGGGATGGCAGTTGAAAGGACGTAAGCAAACCAGCCCTTTTGGCGCTTCGGCTGGGACCGTATGCTGAATGTTGGGGAGGGGATGGAGTCCCCGACGGTGGACGGACCACTTCAACGCGGTCCTTAGAACCGCCACAATTTGGCGCTTACCTTAGAACTAAGCCTTAAAGAGAGGACGGGTCCGTCCCCTCTCCTAGGCTTAGTCCAAGGGTGAGCAGACCGGTCCTTCTGGCGAAGCTACTGGACCAGCTGCACCACTTGCGTCAGTACTCTCCTATCGTACCAACCGAGTTGAAGTAAACCGTCGACCGTTGGGGACCCCATCCCCTCCCCAACATTCAGCATACGGTCCCAGCCGATGTGCCAAAAGGGCTGGTTTGCTTACGTCGGGGAACGTGCAGAGACCGAAGCGTGCCTCAAGGCAAACGCGCAAATGATTTGGGGGAAGCTTCAAGCGGTCGACAATAAAGTTATGGACATTTCTATGACGTTAGGGGTGTCAAGTGGGTTGGGGGGGGACCACGCAGCGGCGCGGCAGTCTGCTCGCATGGCACTCTTTCAAACGAGACAGTGTAAACTCGAACATTCCTACTTTCCACGCTTGTCAAGTGTCAACCCCCCAACCCCCTAGCACTGACATCATCCCCTAAAGGACGAATTCACGAAGAAAAAGCAAATTTCAAATTAACCTAGGGATGGTGAGTGGTACACGAAAGAAGGAAGAACCATGAGAAACGGCCCAGAACCCGAGAAATGGGACCCCTTCCTTGCCCGTTGATTTGAGCATTGATGCGACTCTCATCGCTGTGCCCTCTTCAACACTACGCTCTCTCAGCTATCTAATCACTCGCCACGTATTGAACTACGGCGAGTGATCAGATGATCGGTGGGCGGAGATCGCCGGACCCGCCAGCTTTGAGGCATGATAGGTCGCCGAGGTCAAATTTTTCCATGCGAATTGCGCGTCAGTTCGCACCCTCAGGAGGTCCGTGGGTCCCTCAACTAGGTCAGTTTCCCTTTCTTCGACCTTCATTCTAATCGTGAATTCCTCCTTTAAGTAGCGGGCTTGATTTGTTCGTAAACCATCGGACATGGAATCCATACAGCCAAAACGCTCAAATTTGCCCCGAAGATATCGTAAATTCCATCTGCTATGGTGTAGTCTTGGTAAAGTGGCCAAGTCGGAAAAACTTTGAGGGCTTCTTGAAATAGCTTATGAAGCACTATGAAGTGCTTAGAAACGTTGTTCCATGGTTAACGAAAAATACCAACCTTCTTTAGTGGGGATTGAGCCAGCACGGGAGAACAGAATTGGACGGGAGGAGAACGAAGATCTGGCAGCCGCACTCCAAAGGTAGAAGAATTCATTCTTGCTCTTTACTTATTTATGTCTTTTAATGAGTTTTCCGATTTCCGTTTTAAGGGTGATAGATGTGGATCCGCAAATGGTAGCGATTGCAGGCCGCGAACAGAACAGGGGAGAACAAAATCACGGACAAGGTTGGTTTGCTGATGCGCGTAAAGTCTGTGATCAACATTGGAGGCTCTCACTTCTAGTTTTAGGCTTTCTTAAGCTAAGGTGTCATCACTTTTCAGATGATATTGATTACATCTACGTCCCCCGAGATGTAGTAGCCGGGTTGGTGGTTCTTTCAAGAACGACGGAAATGAGCTACTTCGTGCATAATCTGGAAAATCTGGTCTACGAAGGTGACCCAGAGATAAGAGACCTTTGCGACCATCGGCACCAGGAAAAAATTGATTTCATCGAATGGGTGAGGTGAAATTATCGGCATTTTATCTACTATAAAATATTTCTTGAACTCAAAACATACTAACGACTTCAAACTGTACAGTGCTTCAGTGGTTTTTCAGTGCCTATTCGAACACTATGATGTAGAGGAACGCAAGCGCGAAAGTGTGTGGAAAAAAATGAAAGGCCGTCTGGATCAACGCGTACGCAATACCAGAAGGCCAGTGGGACACACAGTGGCAAGGGGGAACAGAAATGGATCGGAGGAGGACGAAGATGCGGCAGCCGCACTCGAAAGGTAGGAGGAATTTCATCCTTGCTTTTTAGTTAATTTTTCTTGATGGGTTTTCCGATTTCTGTTCAGAATAAGATTGGCAGATGAGGATCCGCAAATGGTGGCGATTACAGACCGCGAGCGCAACAGGGGAAATCGAAACCATGAAGGTTGGCTTGCTGATG